TTTATGGTGTGGGGTTGTTTTTCAGGGGTTGGGCTTGGCCTCTTAGTTCCAGTGAAGGGAACTCTTAAGGCGTCAGGAAACAGTTTGGCAATGGCCCCTTCCTGTTCCAACATGACTGCACACCAGTGCACAAAACAAGGTCCATAAACACATGGATGAGTTTGGGGCAGAAGAACTTGACTGGCCTGACCTCAACCCAATAGGATACCTTTGGGATGAATTAGAGCGGAGACTGCGAGCCAGGCCTTCTCATCCGACATCTGTTCCTGACCTCACAAATGCGCTTCTGGAAGAATGGTGAAACATTGCCAAAGACACACTCCTAAACCCTGTGGACAACCTTCCTAGAAGAGTTGAAGCTGTTATAGCTGTAAAGTGTGGGCCAACTCAATACTGATAGTATTAGTAGTATGATACTGATAGTAATAGCTCATGTGCATGTAAAGGCAGACATCCCAATACTTTTAGCAATATAGTGTATGTGCAGACCATTAAAGTTCATCTGTAATTATCATAACCAAAAACCTAAAATTGCTCACCACATCAACCTCCTCCCCATCTATAACCACTGAAATATGGCCCCAATTCTTCTTTTCTAAAGTATTGATTACTCTCATTAGTTTCACTCACATTAACTGCAGATCATTCTCCTTGCACCATTTCAACAAATTATCTATTTCTGCCTGATATGGAGTCTCTTCATCATTTCTAATCCGACCTACAATAGTAGTGTCACCTCCAAATTTAATGACACGATTTCCCTCATAATGAGCAGCACAGTCAGAGGTATACAAGCCAAGGTAAATAATAGTGGGTTTAACACACATCCCTTTGGAGCACTTGTATTTAAATATAACAAAGAATAAGACTTTGACTTACTAATCTAACTACCTGTGGCCTATTAAAAAAATCCAGAATCCAATTGCAGATTTAGGACCCCGAGCCCAAAAAAACAAGCTTATAAACAGGTTTAATTGGAGAAATAGCATTAAAAGCAGAGCTGAAGTCTACAAACAGCAACCTAACATAATTATTTTTCCCTCAACTTGGGAAAGAGCAGTATAAAGGATAATAGCAATTGCATCCTTGATTGACCTATTTGATCAAAATACAGTTAGAAAACAAAGAAACAACAGGCCCTAGCATTATAAGAGGACACTTCAATATAACTACTACATAAATATAAAAAAAAAACTCCATATGTAGAAGTTCTTTCTTCTACAGAAGATCAAGAGCAAAGAGAAAAATGAGGGTGGGGGGACTAGAGACTGACACAATAGCGGATGCTAGTGAAATCTACGCCAGGGAAGAAGATCGCCACATTTATATTGTTAACGAATAAAAACATAACCTAATTGTAAATACAAAATGTTATTTTGGTATCTTTTTTGACAACAGTAATCTACACTCACTGGCCACTTTATTAGGTACACCTGTTCAATTGCTTGGTAACACAAATTGCTAATCAGCCAATCACATGGTAGCAACTCAATGCATCTAGGCATGCATCTAGGCGTGGTGAAGACGACTTGCTGAAGTCCAGGCCGAGCATCAGAGTGGGAAAGAAAGGGGATTTAAGTGACTTTGAACATGGCATGGTTGTTGGCGCCAGACGGGTTGGTCTGAGTATTTCAAAAACTGCTGATCTACTGGGGTTTCCCTCACAACCATCTCTAGGGTTTATAGAGAATGGTCCAAAAAATAGAAAATATCCAATAAGTGGCAGTTGTGCAGGCAAAAATGCCTTGTTGATGTCAGAGGAGATTGGGCAGACTAGTTGCTGCGACATTCAGATGGTAGGGTCAGAATTTGGCCTAAATAACATGAAAGCATGGATCCATCCTGCCTATCAACGGTTCAGGCTGGTGATGGTGTAATGGTGTGAGGGATATTTTCTTGACACTAGCATAGTATACCTAATAAAGTGGCTGGTGAGTGTACTATTCTGTACTAAATTGTCTGTGATTATTTTTCCGTAAGACAGGAGGGTTCAGTGTGGTAGTAGTATTACCCAAAAAACTACTAGTAAATTAGCAGCCATAATAGTTTAGTAGACACAGATTTAGAATAGTAACAGTAAAAAAAAATGCACTTTTACTATAGATCTTTATGTATATAGCTTCATCTGTGTGTGATTGTAATATGGTCAGCTGGAATTATAAGTAAAGCTGGCCATAGATCAAAATTTGGCTGGTTCAGCATGGACCAGCTAAACTTTGATCCATGTATGACTGCCCCCATGCGACTGAAGTTCACCGTTTGATTTCTGATGAATGGTAATGTTGGAAATCTTTTGTTAATCATCAGCTGCAGTTGCTGATCAATGTATACTAGCAGCGCAGAAGTTCTGATCCTCTCTGTCCACCTAGCCTGTGTTGGCCAGTTGATTTTCTGTAGAGAAATTAGCAGGTATTGCTTGTTAAATTACAATTTATGTTTCTTTTATTAAGCCCTTCATACCACAGTCACCAACTCCCTTCCCAATATTATATAGAATTCTGTTACCTCTGTGCAGTGACAGTGTAATCTATCCCCTACTCAGTAGCAATGTAAAGCTTATTTAGGCCCCCGCCCATTTCCATTACTATTTCCAGTGTCTATAGTCTCCTGGCCCTCCTCCCATATGTGTGTGCAAATGTTCCAGTCCCTCTCCATACAGTGGCAAAGTATATATCTCTTGTGAAGTGTCAGACATGTACACAACTGATCAACTTCACTATCCCACTGGTTTACTTCTGGAGCATGGAAGTATAGTAGATAGGCCCTCTGGACATCCAGTTGGCATTAGGCTTCTGCCTAGGTTGCTTTGTTGTTGATCTGGCTAGTCATGAAAAACTACAGGAATACAGTGTATCAGAGTCAACTGTGTGAATTCATCAGTGCTTCCACTAAGGCAGGGGTCTCCAAACTTTCCAGTTTACTGTCCTTCAGACTTTACGAGGGCCAGGCTGCAGCCAGTAGGAGTAGAAAAGGTCCCTACATCAGTGGGAAATAATAATAATGCCTCATTGTTTGGTGTCAGTGGGAGGAGTTCTGCCCCATCATTGATGTCATTGGACCCTATCATTTGTGTCACTGGGAGAAGTTGTGCCTCATCATTGATGTTATTGGATCCTATCAACTGTGTCACTGAGAGGAATTGTGCTCCATTGTTGGTGTCATTGGAAGGAGTTATGCCCCCTTCATTGGTGTAAGCGGGAGGAATTATACCCAATGTTGGTATCTGTAGATGAAATAGTGCCCCATGGCCAGATGAAAGCAAGCAAAGGGTCGCATCTGGCCCTCGGGCTGCAGTTTGGAGACCACTGCACTAAGGTGTCATAAGTAGGTAGCAAGAAGGGCTATATTTTAACAAGGGAACTGGAAGGTTCAGCTACATCAGCTTTTTAGATTTTCTTTTGGACATTTGCTAAATAAACTGGTTGAGTTGCCTAAAGTGCACTTATGCCCAGACTATAGACATTAAAGTATTTACATATTCCTAACAAGTAAAAGAGCTTTAAAATAAATCATCACAGATTTCTATAATTGCTTGTACAGCAAAGTTATTCTTGAAGTTCCTCATATACAGTAGGTCACAACAAAAACTCTAATGTCCGGGTTTAGTTAGTTTCTAACAGTGGCCTGAGCAGATCCCACTGTGAGTGCAGGACAGGGACAAAGGAGATTCAGGTGCCGGGGGTGCAGTGCAGTCATGAGCTGGAGGGGTCACGTGGTAGGCTGCACCATCTAAGATCTCCTTTTTTTTTTTCCTTTTTTTTCCCTGGTTCCCGATGCTGATGCCCCCACTGGATGATCTCCCTGCAAGGGAGAGAGGCAGAGCCACCTACAATGTGTGGAGAGGTACTTGAGTTAACTGGGTGATTCAGCTTAATATGGCAACAAAAGTAGGATATGTAAATGATAATGGAGCTTTTAAGAAGGGGTGAGAGAATGAGGGCAGCGGAGGGGGGTTCTGAGCTGAAGAGGGGCAAAAGTAAAATGTTGATGGGGGATGCAGTGGTAAGCAACTGGGGAAGAGGGCTGAACTCTGCACTCTGTATGCAACACACCCCTGAAATCTACACTCTGTGTTTAGCACACCCATGAACTCTGCACTCTGTATGTAATTTACCCTTAAACTGTGCACTCTGTGTGTAGCACACCCATGAACTCTGCACTCTGTATGTAATTTACCCTTAAACTGTGTACTCTGTGTGTAGCACACACCCCTGAACTCTGCACTCTGTGTGTGTAGTGCACCTCTGAACTTTGCACGCTGTGTGTAGCACACCCCTGAACTCTGCACTCTGTGCGTAATGCACCCCTGAATTCTACACCCTGGAGGTAATGCACTCCTAGTATTTAAAGCCCTTTTAAGACCCACCCATACAATTTGATGCAGCTTGGTGGGTGTGCCTGGGGGGGTTGTTTTGGGGGAGACATGGTTGAGTTTCTGTACTTCTCTGAGGAAATAAAAGCCCTGCTACTATCAATGTAGTATTAGCAGTATATTTTCATCTGTATCCAATTTTTGTTGAGCTATTCTGGTATGGTTTTAAATATGGAATCCCCAGTAAACGTCTATTTGAGGCTTGTTGTTTCACTTCCTTTTAATTTATTTTCTTACTGTCTATAGTGTTCAATTAAAAACATCTATACAGGGGCAGATAACAACACTTGAAAATCATTATTCTCACATTATAAAAACAAATCAAGAATGTGTGCATTTTTTTCCTCTTTCTTCCTTACTTAGACCTTCATTTGGGGACATTTGAACACTCCAGCAAGGCAGCATTAATTTAATTCAGCTATTTGCAATCCTTTTATCTGTGACAGAGATTCTTTACAGGTTTACAGAGCATTGATCCTAGTGTGTTTTGAAAACATGAAAACTGCCTGATTTTCTGGGGATAAATCATTTTTCTTTGCATCTTTCCTGAACATGCTTTTTTTCAGTCTCCTGTTGCCTTTTACAGTGCTGTACAGATTTCTGATAAGAATGTTGTGTTTTATTACAGCAGCCTCAACAGAGGGGCCCAGATATCTCTTTCACTATTGATGCAAATAAACAGCAGCAGAGACAGCTTATCGCAGAGCTAGAGAATAAGAACAGGTACGAATCATATTTAAGTATATTTTAAATATATCTTTAGAAGGTTTCCCTGCCTGCAAATGTTTGCAAGATCATTTGCAAGGGTAAGAAAAAGAGCTGTGATAATACACAGTACTATTAATACCAACCACATTTCATCAGTTCAGCAATACAAAGAATAAAATGTTATTGCTTACTAGTTGCTGTAGGTTATGCCCTTGTTAAAATTTGCCACAAAGAACGAGGAAATTATTCCATGTATAAGTATACGACTAAGATTTCTGTATTTGACATTATTATTGTTGCACAATTTAATAATACAGTCTGTGTTTAAAGTGAATCTATAACATGGCTATGGACATTCAAGTATTTACACATTCTCAACAAGTAGGGTTAATTTACACTAAGGTGCACTACGCTGCAGCACATGCATTTTCTTGCATTAAAGGGTATTGTGGTGTGTTGGTACCCAGACAATTCAAAATCATTGGGTTGTAATGCACCTCTATGCTTTTTTTTTTTTTTCTTGCTGCACACTGCAACACACATTGTTGCAGTGCTGTATGGGGTACGATAATGCAGGTGCTCTCCAGACATGCATTGGGTGTGCTCTACCACGCCATAGCACAGTACTTTACCACAATGCGGTTAGTGTGAATGAGAGCCCAACAAAGCACAGTTGGAAGCAGACTCACTGAAGTCCTTGTCTAAGCCAGCCCATCTTCCCCTCCCCCCCCCCCCCCACCAAGTGATTGACATCCTTCTAGTCTCTAACATAAAACCAGAGCGCATGCACAGGAAGTACTTCAGTACTTCTTATGTGATTATTGAGGATGAATTGTTCTGCAGTACCTGCAACTACAAAGCTCAGTAAGGAGTTGTTTGAAAACTCACATAAATATATGTAACTACTTGCATGTCTGTAGCCTAGCCACAGGTTCACTGTAAAGTAAAAGTTAAAAAATATGTGCGGTATATAACTGCTGTTTTAATAGGCATTAGCCTAATGAATTTAGAAATATGCAGTCTTTCACCAGATAAGTGTACCTGATCCGGTCAACTTTCATGCAACATCACAAATTGTCATCTAGATTTGTACCTTTAATGACATTCTAATTCTGTTCAGGGCTGATTATGAGTGACTTTGCTTATCCAGGCCAGGATTCAGAATATGTAATTAAATCAGAAGCCTCAAGCTGTTGTCATATTGTGGTAGGAATGGCATCATACCTTATCCTCATGTGTGTAAGTAAGCACACAATTTCCTATGCTGGGGAAGCTACCTTAAAGTATAACTGAAGGCAAACATGTTTTTTTTTATTTTTTTAGCTTTGGATAGAGTGGAGAGAGAACCCCTGTCAGGTTTTATTGTGGGCTGTGTCCCTGCTATGGTGATTCACCCTCTCTGTTTGTCCTGTTTACCATTATCATCAAAAGTAAAAGAATATCCCAAAATTTGTGTTGTTCCAAGACAAGTAATAGAGGAGAAATCTTACAATGGGGACACTAGTTTTGGTGACCTGGGGGTCCCCAAGGATTTCCCTTAATTTGCAGGGATTTGCTCTCACTTCCTGTGTGGCTATGGGACAGGAATTGAAGGTAAATTTCTGCAATGGGAAACGGATGGGGGAAAAAAAATTGACAGGGTTTATAACCCTTCCTGCTGTATCCAAAATGAAAAAAAAAGTTTTGCCTACAGTTCTATTTTAAGCAGAGCTGCAATATCTGGAGGGCCACACATAACCCTTTCATTAAAGAATATTCACAGGTCAGACCCTCTCCAGCCCATTGCAGTGTTTGTTTATGGATCTTCTCCACAACGTACTTGTTTTCCCTGGGTGTAGAGAGGTGGCTTTTACATTGTTGTGTTTTACCTTTTTCGCCAGGGTATGGCTACAGCTTAAGTCAGGGTGTTGTTTTGAGTCTTGAATGGATGCCAGCTTATACTTCTGTAATAAGGAAACTGAACCCGTGGCATACTTAGGTTGATCATACATGGATCGGTCCATGTATAGCTGCTGTGCTTGATCAGAAGTCAATTGGAAGATCAATTTCTGTTTAACTGCCCTGTTGAAAAAATATACAGTCAGGTCCATAAATATTGGGACATCGACACAATTCTAACATTTTTGGCTCTATACAGCACCACAATGGATTTGAAATGAAATGAACAAGATGTGCTTTAACTGCAGACTGTCAGCTTTAATTTGAGGGTATTTACATCCAAATCAGGTGAACGGTGTAGGAATTACAACAGTTTGCATATGTGCCTCCCACTTGTTAAGGGACCAAAAGTAATGGGACAGAAGAATAATAATCATAAATCAAACTTTCACTTTTTAATAATTGGTTGCAAATCCTTTGCAGTCAATTACAGCCTGAAGTCTGGAACGCATAGACATCACCACACGCTGGATTTCATCCCTGGTGATGCTCTGCCAGTCCTCTACTGCAACTGTCTTCAGTTCCTGCTTGTTCTTGGGGCATTTTCCCTTCAGTTTTGTCTTCAGCAAGTGAAATGCATGCTCAGTCGGATTCAGGTCAGGTGATTGACTTGGCCATTGCATCTTGTTTGTTTCATTTCAAATCCATTGTGGTGGTGTATAGAGCCAAAAATGTTAGAATTGTGTCGATGTCCCAATATTTATGGACCTGACTGTATTTGATAAGTGCTGCAGGCTATAGACTGCAGCGCTAATCTGTACATTCTGATGGCGGGGAAGTCTCCTCACTGTCTGAATACAAAGACACATTGGAGGGGAATGCCCCCATCTACCCTGCTGGTTGAATAAAAAAAAAATTGGCTCATCTCTGGCCAGCCTTAATGGAGAATCTGAATAAACCCTTACAGCCAGCTTCTACCAGCTATATAAGAGTGTTTTAATGTTGGAGGCATGTCCTGGGCTTCCCAGTAATTTTGTCACCTTGATTACAAGATGGGGAGCCAGTCCTACCAGCTTCTGTTCATTGCTATGTTGATGACAGCATGGTCATAGTGCTCAGGACGTGTGATTGAGCATGCATCCTCCACAAAACAGGTACAAATATATATGTGGCAGCACGAAATTAGGCCCATCATCTCACTACATTTTATATACGTACAGCCGACGGCCGGGGGTTAGATCCAGCTCATCTGAGAGATATGGAGGCTTCTGCTAGTCACCCACTCTTGAAAGTGTTAATTGTCTCTGGCTTCACTAATCCAGATCATGCACAAAGTTAATGAAGTCAAAGCAAAGTAATGACTCCTTAAAAACTGAAAACAATAAATCCGCACATACACGCACATACATGTTCCTTTTGCATAAACCAGTTTTGTACTTTCATCTGATTTCTCCTTGTTTCTTTTCTCTCTCTTAAGAGAAATATTGCAGGAAATACAGAGGTTGCGAATTGAACATGAACAGGCCTCTCAGCCCACACCAGAAAAAGCCCAACAGAATCCCACTTTGTTAGCAGAACTCCGATTGCTCAGGTGAGGATCAGATAGCACAAACTGCGGTAGTGGTTTCAGATATTAGTATTGCAATTATCATTTGTGAATTTGTTGTAAAGAGGAACTTCAGTCAAAGCTGTTTTGTTTTGTTTTGTTTGAACCTCTGCTGGGTTTTCATTGCTGTTCATTTCTAGTACTTATGTGTCTAATTATAAAACATTTGCAGGCTGCACACATTTTCTCTGTATTCTCTTTAATAGATTACTGTAATTTATAGGATTGTCAGCTCCATCTAGGTGACAAAATACAGAATAATTTTCTGAAAGTCTGAGAAAATATGCCACATTTTCGCCACTAGATAGAGTGTATGAATATAGGAATTATTATATTACAGAAAACACAAAGAAAAATTGTGCAGCTTGCGTGAATGCTTGTGACATTCGTCCAATGAATGTTTTTAAATAGACCCCAGCATCTGACCAGAAAAGTAAGAGAGGACATTTCTCTAATAGAGACACAGATGACAATAACAAAAAAAAAAAACCCAAAATTTAAATAATGAGGGGTTTGGAGGTAGTTTTAAATTTACACACTTGCCCCTGTACAGTATATAACATCCTGAATTATTTCAATTAATGTACAACTCCAGCCAAAAATGTTTTGTGTTTGTTGCTTTTTTTGCTGTTTCTGTTGCCATTGATCAAATAGTCCCTCGTTTCTTGTGCGGTCACCAAAACAGGAATTAAGCAAAATCAATCCAGCAGGTCACAGATATTAAAACATATTCCTAAAATAGACTTGGAAAGGACTGAAAACTCTGTCAGGATTTTATTGCTTTCTGTTTTTCCACTGGGAGATCTCCTCGCCTCCTTTTTGGTGCTTTCTCTAGCTTTTTTTTTTTATAAGGTTTTTATGAGTGTTGTAATGAACTGGACAAGCAGCAAAATAAAAGTTGTAATTGTATCTTAGATACTAACTTAATAGTTTAAAACAATAAATACAGCTGTAGAAAGTACATGTATAATACTTACCATTAGTGCCTCTGTTGACTCCAGTCTTTACTAATCTTGCAGTGCTAGAGTCGCCACTAGAATTTTCTCCATCTGACACTTCCAGGTGTGTTGGCCTGCATCTGCATACAGAGGTTTCAAAACACCCTACACACCTCCATTTTCTGTTTAATTAATATGTCTCACAATGCTGGGTACACACGTAGACTTTTCTTTCTTTCAACCGGGCTGAACGAAAAAAAACTTGAGAGGTCACTGTACTAACTGTCTGATGTTTATGCAGCTATCACCCCCGCTTAGCTATTGTGTTCCAAAAGGGGGACAACCCCCCCTCCCACCAGAACAAACTGATCAGCACTTGCAGACATTGGCTGCAAGCACTGATCTGATGCTGGTTTTCCAGTTGGCTGGTCCTGCCGAACTGACCGTTTTCAGCCAATTTTTGGCTAGTGTGTACCCAGTTTAAGAGTTGCTGTGTTGCAGAGACACAGTAGTGATGGGGAACCACAATGGGAAAAACACAGGGATCCAATACATCTGGAAGTGTCAGATAGTGAAGAATCTAGCAAATGATTTAGTTTTTATGTCTGTTTACTTGCTCTGTTTTAGGAAGAGGTAAAATGTTTTAACATAGGAAAACCATTCTTATCTGATTCTTGTCCTTCAGACAGCGCAAAGATGAACTCGAGCAGAGGATGTCTGCCTTGCAGGAGAGCAGAAGGGAGCTGATGGTACAGCTTGAAGGCCTCATGAATGAAACTGCTGAAGGTGGGATGAGTGACAGTATTTAACGTTGGCAGCATCTGCACTTTGCTAGAGGTCATATATATCCCATTCCCAAAGCAGAGGAGTCAATTGTGACTACTTCATCTGTTAACTGCATCAAGATGGTATTTGATTATGTTTTACTAGTAAACTTGCTCTTCTAATTGGTAACAAGGCAATGGCTGTTTTAACTATTTAATGGCTAATTCCAGGTTTGATTTCATTTTAAATAGTTTGGTCGGACAACAGTGGTCCATACAAACTAATCAGTTTGCTAATACATGTGACCACTGGGAGTGCTGTATAAATTGTTTGTAGTATCAGCTAAACACAGTATATAGCACTGTGTTCCAGTGGTGGTATGTGCACTTCTCGTCCCATTCCCAGAACATAATCAAGTTGGCCTGAGTGCTGCTCAGCCATGCATAGGAAGCTTTGTATTTTAATCAGTGAATACAAGGCTTGTTCTGATTGACTCAGGCGGAGATCATGATATCAGCCCCCTGCCTCTCCACCTCAGCCATTCAAAGGAAGCCTTGTATCTATATTGTGTATGTATTTATATTACATGCAGTTTACAATGTCCATCACTTGCAGCCTCAGACACTTATTCCAAAACTGTATCAACCCTTTACCTTGATATTTCAATGTATCAGATCAGTGGTATTTTAAAAAGTGCCCATCAAACCTAGCAAGCATACCATAGCAGACTTTTTTTTTGTGGAAAACCAATGGAAGAATACAACTTTAAACGATTCATTGTTTGCACACATGATGTTCAAAATTAAGAATTTTGCTATTTTCTCAAAACTGTAAATTGTTGCTATTGCACTATTCCTTTGTAAATGTATGTTCTGTTGTTGCATGAACATTTTACAGGAACAAGAAATTGGACAGGCAGTAAGTCCTTTCTTCATCCCTGTCAGTGAGTGCACGCATTGAAGTGTTGGCATGTGAAAACCTAACAGACCACCATACTGACCTTTTATAAAATGCAAATTGGCATAAAAAAGAGATACATTTCTTATATAATATTATGTTTTAGTCCAAATATTTTTTTTTCTTGTGTGCTGTTTTGAGTCTGCTTAACTGCTCAGATGCAAAACTTTATACATTTTAGCCAACAATGAATTAAGGATATACCTATTACAAATATATAATTTTAGAATGTCTATAATTGTTCCTCACAAATATAATTGTACACCTGTATAGACCGAGCTTCTTGTATGTGTGAGATATATATATTTGTAAACTGTAATCAATGGTGTTTTTGCCTTTGTAAAGGTAACCATACACTAGATTGGGTGTCAGTCTTAAATATAAGGTTTTCGCAGTTACCACCAGCCAAGGCCACTTGGGTGGAAATAGTAACTGGACAAGTAGTGAAACCACTGATAAGGAGACATTAGGAGGTGTGCATGTGACTCCTTCCCTCTGGGTAGTCAACATGCTTGGAACCCATGAGCAGATTAAGATGCCAGGAGGCAGTTGGATCGTCCCTGCACATCCAACTTACCTACAATGCCATTGGGCATCTTTAAGCTATTATTTATTCAACTTACCTTGCATTCCAAAAACAGTCAGATATTCTCTGATCAGATATTTTAGAATCCAGAAAAGCCTCTGATAATACATATTTCAGCTATGTGTACCTGCACAGTTTTATGAAGGTAAACAGTCCATGTATGGTTTTTGTTTTCTATGACACCAATAAGGCCTTGTTCACACCATATAGAGATGTGAGTTTTTCTGCACATGTCCTGCAAGGGTACGAAGAAATCTATGTGCCCTGTTCACACCAGAACACTAGTATCATGTTTAGTTTTCTTCTGTGCAGGAATCTGCAAGATGTATGCAGTTTTTCTCAAAAAAAAAAAAAAACTGACATGACATCAACAGGGAGGGCAGAAGAGAAAGTGATGACACAGGGTATGATGTTTATCTGTGCATTAAACAACACGCATGAAAACTGATGTCAGCATGCATAAAAAAAAATCACTGAATTGCGCATGAAAACTGATGTAAACTCGTGTCTCTGCAAGTGAAATCTGCGCGTTTTTTCCATCAGTTTTTATGCACGTATGGTGTGAATGAGGCCTTAATGTTTTGATTTCTGAGTTTAGCATGATAGTGAAACCAGTTATGTGATTTTCTATGACTATTTTATTGTTAACCACTAACCAAGTCAGGGGAGACTAAGGTATCAGATTATTGTACTAGTTCTGTTAACTTCTGTGGAGATAGAGTGCTGGAAAGCTCCCACTCGCTCAACTGTGCAATGCAGGTTATTTTACATCTTTTACATTGATCCGTATAAATTTTTTTTCTTAGTATGCATAATCATCCTTATAAAAGGATGTTCTTCATTATCTTGCAATAGCAAATACAAACTATTTAAAGTAATTGAGACTCTCAAAGCTCAGTAAACTGGAATCTGGTCAATTGCTGTGGGTTCAATTCAGGCAGATACCACATCATCATTGCTCTGAGCTCTGCTTTGCTGGATAAGACTAAGAATTTGGTGCCATTGAAAATCACTTTTAAGGGCATAGAAAACTTCAAAGCAAGAATTTAAAAGCTTATGTACAGAGCTATGCATTAGACTCAGTGGGAGACATTTATCAGGTCTGTTGCACGCAGCAAGGCAATGCTAAACAGGTGTAGTATGACATATTCACAGCGAGGTTACAACTTGATTCATAAATTCTCCCTCTGCTGCTTTAATAGAGCACAGTGATAGAATTAAACCTGCCCCTTGCTACTTAACTGTACCTCTGTTTAGAGTAAAATTCTGTCTCATCTTCAGTGTTAAATCTGTCTCAGAACTTTGTAAATATGTTACAGTTGGTTGCCCAGGATGTCAGATACAGATGTTGCAAATACATCAGTAAACCTATTGCAAAGACTGCACTAAATGAGTGTCAGCCTGATTTGTGCTTTAATTGTTGCTAATTTGCTTGATAAATGCCCTCCTATGGGTCTTTTTGCAACTAATGTTTCCAGCATATTACCTCGTAGGTTGTCTATTACAAATAAAATATGATATTTCTGCCAACCTTCCTCCTGCAGCACAAAGGTTTTCACAGGACTGAGACCATTGATCTCAGTATTGACCAGTTGTGTTGCCTCCAGATGTATCTGGCATTATTGCACGGGGCCTAAAGTGGCTTACAAATAAAGAAGAAAAATGGGTAACCTTCTGTGTTACTGCAGAGGGGTAAAACATATCTGTTACAGTTTTACCTGTGAATCATTTTACTCTCTGTAAAGGTAACATGTGGTGATAGAATTATAGAAGCTTCCATTCTTGACTTTTTTGGCAAGTTGCTAGTCCCTTGCTCATCCTGTGGAGCTAGCCTGTGACTGACAAGAAGCCTGTTGGTCAAAATTTCTGACCTAAATGGTCCCATGCTTGTTATAGGCCAATTGAAAAAGTAGTAAACCCACGGGAAGCAGCCATAGAATCAGCTAAAAATCAACAATGGCAGCTCGTATACTTCTATCAACAAATGGTTTACTATGTATTGAGAAAGATACCGCATTGTTTGTATGTTTTTTGTGCAAAGTTTTCATTTAAAAAAGTCTAGTCAAATGTAGAACATTGTCTTTCTAAGATGATTATATTCTTATTCAAATCACACATGTTCACAACTATAAAAACTTAAACTGTGCTGTGAGATTAATGCATCAGTATTTTCCTAGGCAGCTATGGGTAGAGAATTAACCCAGCATTATCACTGGTGGATTGAGCGAAACATGACCTTCTCTTTTCCAGAAAGGAATGTTATATATCATAATTCTATGTGATGGAGCCCCTTGGTCTTTATTATCCATCGTGCAACCAGTTTCTCAAGTGATACATAATATTAATTGTTTTATAGCAATCATATAGAGGCTGCCAAATGCTATATACATACAATTCACCTATATGTATTTTTCAAGCACTATTGTTACCCACATAATTGAATGTGCAGCCAGAGATTTTTTGGGCTCCATTGCTGGCACATGGCTTGCTGTTGCTAGAATTACCTTGATGTCTAATCTGATAATAATAATTCGGTTTAAATACATAATACTTATATTTACTGCATTTAATGATTACCCTGCTGACTAACAATGGTTTACTTTTCAGACTCAGGGGGCAGGTTCCCCTCGCTCTTCTCCCAGTCACACCATCAGCCGGCCTATACCAATGCCTATTAGATCCGCATCCGCTTGTTCCACCCCTACTCACACTCCTCAGGACTCCCTGACTGGTGTTGGAGGTGACGTGCAGGAAGCATTTGCACAGGGTATGGCTAACCCAATGATCATTGCTTAGAAATTGACACGTAATATTATATATGTTATAGATCCATCAATTGCTTGTGTGTTTTTAGGAAGCAGTATTCAGTTTCCTAACTAGTCAGCTTTACAATATTATTATATTTATATATCTGTATTTTGCTGTTTACTTAGGGCCCATTTAACTTTTTGTGGTTCATTAATGCGTTCTGTTGTGTGTGATCCATTAAGCCAGCCCATATGAAAATAATGAACTGCTCATGCACCAAAATGTCCCTAAAACTAGACAAATCACAAAATTTGTAACGCAACACACTATGGTTCTTTGCCTTAGTTTGTTTGGGTGCCATTCAAGATGAATGGTCTCACAGTGCTCTGCAAGCCAACACATGTTATTGCAGCTCAAAAATTTAAATAAGCCCTTAAACTGGCGATAGACGATTGAAATCTCAGCTGGCTGCTGAACCAGCCCAGATTTGAACCATGTATGGGCAGGCTGAAAGTACTCACAGATCGATTGATCAACTTGGGTACAACCAGTCTGACGGATTTTACATGCGATTATTGCTAGCTGTTATAGCCGCTAGCATTAATCACTGTGTTTCCCCAAGAGGGAATGCTTATACCCCTCCACCACTGGGAGAACACAAAGGCTCCACGGGGGGGATTCCCCCGTCAACACTGTCTGTGTTGATGGGGGAATCAAATGAATTCACTCCGTCTATGGTCAGCCTTAAAGTTCCATAAATTTGACAGAGGGTCTAACCTTTGTTTGCTCAATCCAAAACAAAGCAATTGTTTTGGATAGACTTTTCATTTTAGGTTCAACATTGTATCAATTTATAAACAATACAGTAATATACTATATTTTGAGGTATATCAATATATATAATTAAAGTTATATAACTATAACATTAATAGATATAATTCAAAGGACAACCATTGGTGTCACCATGTACTGTATATAGCAAATCTAATATAGGCATGCTTACAAGTAGAGACCTAAATTCAGAATTTACTAAATTAGACTGTAAAAACAAGAATGCAATGCTAAGAGTGAGCTTTTTTTAGCGGTTAGATGATTAGACCATAGATTTTAAGCACCATTTGCCATATTTGTTTGCAAGTGCGGCACGTTCTTCTTTGTTCATTACAGTAAATGGCTGTGTTTAATACATGAGCTCTATCCAACTAGTTGAGATCCTATAGTAGTTCAGACTTCACTGAGCAGTCTAAATTTATTTTTAGACATAACAAAATTAACATGACATACAAATCTATAGGAAAAGTAAATGTAAGCTGCTTTGGATCATATTGCATGATGCTATTACTTTGATCTGGCAGGTGCAAGAAGAAATCTGCGGAATGACTTGTTAGTGGCAGCTGACTCTATCACTAATACCATGTCTTCTCTAGTGAAGGAGCTCAAATCAGGTGAGAAAATGTCTCTACACCCTGGTGCCTTAAAACAGTATTTTTGAATGGATTTAAAGGTACAAATGCCATTAGTTGGAGTCACCACTTAGTATGGGTGGGGGAAAAGGGGAGTCCTCCATATCCGAACAATGGAAGCTCCATCATTTGGACTCATGCACAGTTGCCTTTGTTTGCCTCTGAACTGTTGGTCTTCCCCCTCCCCAAAAAAATCTACGTAATTTCAAAAACCAAAGTATGGTTAGAAGAAACTCAAAAGCAAAGCAGTGCAACTCCGAGGCACCTGAAAGTATATTACATTTATCGTTCTTCTGAGTCAAATGCCCCTGCACCTGATGACATTTTTGAACTGCATCACCATCCTCAAGTATCCGTCTTCCCAGAGTTCTCATCACTTGTTGAATTTATTACAGTTAATGCATACCTCAGTAATCAGCGTGTGTAAGAGCAAGGTTGTTGTTGGAAGGAAACAAAAGCAGCCCATAGATGATACAATTTTCTTTCCTTTTACCATGGGTGGAAGGAAGGAAAATTGCTCGATTTTCCCATCAACATAGTCAGTATTGAGGAGGGAATGCCTCCCACAGTGCTGTTGTGTTTTGCCAGCGGGCAGGTGCAGGGAACCTTCCCAGCAAGCAGAACGCAATTATTACTGCTAACAGCTATAGTTGGCAATAATCAAAATGTAAAAAATCTTGACAGGCTGGTTGTGCCTAAGTCAATCGAAGGAATCAGCCTGCCCATACACGGATTGAGTCTCGGTCAGTCCCTGCTGAATTTTGATCCATGTATGGCTGGCTTTATAGTGCAGAGTATTGTACTGCCATCACCTGTTCCATTCAGTACAACTGTGTGTGAAGGGGGAAAAGATGTATGCATTATACATTTACTGTGTAATACTGCATCCAAGATGTTTTCCAATTTTTAGATAAAACAGGGAAGGTTTAGATCCTTTTATTTGCTGCTTTGTGCCCCCTCAATTTCGTTTGTCGTAACAAGGGAGGGCAGGGGTGTGAGTTAACATGAAATCTGTCAAACACGAAAATAACGATGACAAGGGTTCTAACCCACACAATAAGTAAACAAGAGCAAAACTTTTTTAGGACTTTAAGGTTCCTTTTTTCAGATGATTGCAAAATGAGCAAACCATGTGGCCAGGCAGTGGAGAAAGCAAATAGAATTCTAGGATGCATCACTAGAGGGGTCACCAGCAGGAGGAAGGAGGTCCTGATTCCCCTGTACACATTGCCTTGAAAAAGTATTCATACTCCTTGAAATGTTCCACATTTTGTCATATTACAACCAAAAACATAAATGTGTTTTATTGTGATTTTAGGTGATCGACCAACACAAAGTGGCACATAATTGTGAAGTGGAAGGAAAATAATAAATGGTTTTAAAACTTTTTTACAAATATATATCTGAAAAGTGTGGCGTGCATTTGTATTCAGCTTGCCTGAGTCAATACTTTGTAGAACCACGTTTTGCTGCAATTACACCTGCAAGTCTTTTTGGGTATGTTTCTAACAGCTTTGCACATCTAGAGAGTGAAATTTTTGCCCATTCTTCTTTGCAACATAGCTCAAGCTCTGTCAGATTGGATGGAGAGCATCTGTGAACAGCAATTTTCAAGTCTTGCCACACAGATTCTCAATTGGATTTAGGTCTGGACTTTGACTGGGCCATTCTAACACATGAATATGCTTTGATCTAAACCAGGGGTAGGAAACCTTAAAGAGGTAGAGATCTACCCGAAAAACATGGGAGAAATCAAAGATCACTGGACACAGTGTCACCTCATCGCACCTGATTTGAACCTCTAATTGCCGTACTACTGTGACGCAATTGTGTGCATTGCACAGCAATCATGGGTTTAAATCTGGTGGTGTGGAGGCAAAATATCATTGCTTCACCACCTGTCAAACACACTCGGATTGCATTTCCCCCCTGTGGGGTCCAAAGATTTTAAGCAACACAACACTGCCTGCTTTAACCCCCTGCTGGATAAAAGCATCCTTACAACATGATTCTCGCAACATGGTGGGGATGGTGTGTTCAGGGTGATGTACGGTGTTAGTTTTCTTCCACACATAGCGTTTTGCTTTTAGGCCAAAAGTTAAATTTTGGTTTCATCTGACCAGATCACCTCCTTCCACATGTTTGCTGTATCCCCCACATGTCTTCCCACAAAATGCAAACGGGACTACTTATTTCTTTCTTTCAACAATGGCTTTCTTCTTGCCAATCTTCCATAAAGGCCAGATTTGTGGAGGGCACGACTAATAGTTGTCCTGCGGACAGATTCTCCCACCTGAGCTGTGTATCTCTGCTGCTCCTCCAGAGTTACCATGGTCCTCTTGACTGCTTATCTAATTAATCCTTGCCCGGCCTGTCAGTTTAGGTGGACGGCCATGTCTTGGTAGGTTTGCAGTTGTGCCATACTCTTTCCATTTTTGGATGATGGATTGAACATTGCTCCATGAGATGTTCAAAGGTTGGGATTTTTTTTATAAACAAACCCTGCTTTAAACTTCTCTACAACTTTATCCCTAACCTGTCTGGTATGTTTCTTGGCCTTCATGATGCTGTTTGTTCACTAATGTTCTCTAACAAACCTCTGAGTGCTTCACAGAACAGCTGGATTTATACTGAGATTAAATTACACACAGGTGGACTCTATTTACTAATTAGGTGACTTCTGAAGGCAATTGGTTCCACTAGATTTTAGTTAGGGGTATCAGGGTAAAGTATGCTGAATACAAATGCACACCACACTTTTCAGATATTTATTTGTAAAAAATTTTGAAAACAATTTATCATTTTCCTTCCACTTCACAATTACTTGCCACTTTGTGTTGGTCTATCACATAAAATCCCAATAAAATACATTTATGTTTTTGGTTGTAACATGGCAAAATGTGGAAAATTCAAAGGGGTATGAATACTTTTTCAAGGCAATGTGGATCTCTATTTAAACTTCGCTTAGAATACTGTGTCCATTTCTGGAGACCTCAGTTACAAAAAGGTATTGATAAGATAGAACAAGTCCAGAGACGGGTAACAAAAATGGTAAATGGTCTGGGGGGATAAAACATATCAAGAGCGACTTCAGGAACTTAGCATATACAGTCTGGAGGAAAAAAGGGAAAGGAGAGACATTATTGAAACCTTTAAATACATAAAGGGGGTGAATAAGGTTCAGGAGGGCAGCATTTTCAACATGAACCAAAATCAACAATACGGGGACATGACCTTAAACTACCTGGAGGAAAGTTCAATACTAATCTCAGAAAGTATTATTTTACTGAAAGAGTAGTTGATACTTGGACTAAACTTCCAACAGAGGTAGTGAGCCAGTAAATAGCTTCAAACAAGGGCGGACTGGATGGACCACTCGGTCTTTTTCTGACGTCACTTTTTTTATGTTTAGGCAGCAGCAGGGGCGGACTGACAACTCATGGGGCCCCCGGGCAATAGGGGATCATGGGGCCCCTGTGTCCTTGCCCAAAAGCAAAACAGCCTATGAAAAAGGTACCAGGGGCATCTCATGGGGCCCCCTACTGACCCCGGGCCCTCGGCCAGTGCCCGAGTTTCCAAATGGTCAGTCCGCCCCTGGGCAGCAGGGAAAATGAGGGTGCAGATGCACTGACGCTATGAGCCTGATAACCAATTAAATATGTATTTAATATATCTATTGCTAGGTGACAGGTCATTGCAGGCAAGGAGGATTCATGATGATTGAGTAATCAGAGGCATTATAAAAGTTTTTGGACAGTGACAGGTATAGAGCAAGAAGGTGTCTTTCAGGTCAGTCTTTCTTAGGCTAAAAAAGAAAAATAGAAAAATGTTTTTTGTGGATTCCACTTTGCGTTCTATTTCATAAACATATACATGAATACCTTGTTCAAAGACCTTTTTTGTGGTTTTAATGGTCTTTATATCTGTATAATTCAGACAGAAAGCACTAATTTACATAGGTTGACTAGAGCACAACAGGTCAACACACAAAACGTTTTATAAGTGTAAATAAGTGAATGCGATGCAAACCTAAAAGCACTGCTTAAATATAGAGTTCAAAGGCACACAAAAGAAATGCCATCACAGGTCACTTTATATTTCTCCATAATTGGGAACGTGCCACAATATCACCTTAAATATGCTGCTATGAGAGTGCATTAAGAATTACAGTGCAACTTTGACAAAGCTGCAGGTGTTATTCAGTTTGAAAGATTAACCATTTAGTCATTGCTGGAATATCAGTATCTACTGTGCATGAAACGTCAAGTGAATGCATATTGGCAGGTGCTTTAAAAATGAAGCTTCCATAGTAGAAAAATTACATATCAGGAAGGTCATACGTAGGTGCAGAAAGACCTTTCTGACCTTATTCTCATCTTCGCTGAACACTACCACATTACAGCTTACCCCGATTCAGGAACTGGAATCTTCATCTACAATCTAATAGAAAGCAAATGAGATGAATGTGGTTTGGTCTATATTGCAATATGATGCTTGGAATTAAATGAAAAACCATTGAACAAATAGGACCACTGCATGACTATGGTTGTGCAGTTTAGCAAAAAAGAAAAAATAACTGAGCCAGGCTGGCAGCACTCAGTCCACAAAAATTATGTGTTGTCAGCCCTGAAGAGGACTTTAGAGCTCAGTGCTTTTCTTACATATCAACAGATATTGTTCTGTGTATTTTTAAAAATACATGCAAATCAATCCTATCTAGTGCATCAAATCATATACTATATACCCATGCACCTACTACTACATATCACCAATTGCAATAATACATAATGACGTGTATCACATAAATAAAATAAATCAACAAATTGTGTATCACATTACTATAAAAATCAAAAAACAAAATAATTTTGTTAATTAGTTATGATTAAGCACGAGATCGTGTGAATCGCGTTAACAGGTCCTGTATTCATGTCCTGGTGTTTTGTGTGTCCTGTGGATCAATAAATACACACTATATTCATCTA